TAGAATGGTTTTTAAGATTAGTAATTTTTTTAGCAGATTTCTTTTCTTTACTATAATTTGGGGGCAGGAGAGCAGAGCCATAGACAGCATAGATGCATGCTTTATGCTGTACATACATCTAAGTAATGTCTATGATGTTAAATAGTGAATATATTTTATTCAAGTGCAATGCCAAAGTGTTCCTGTCAAATAACAGCTATCCCAAAGCAGACAGTTCAACCTTTTCTTTTTATAGTGTTCAGTTTCCAGTTCATAACACACACAAATCTTTTACTATTATACTTGGAAAGTAAGAAAAATGTCACTTTTACATTGGGTTTCAGAATGTTAGAAAATACGACTTTCTGATAGGCTACTCTCAGCTTGTTTCAGGGCAGTGTGAACATGACTTGTGAAAAGAACAGGATGCCTGCTCTGTCCACACAGCCCCGAAAGATGTCTCCTTGACATGCCTCTGCTTGGCCAGGCTGGATCTGTTGATACATCACTGTCTGCTTCGGCTCTGATGCTACTTCCAAATTTCTGTTTTCTCTAACCATCAAGTGCATCGTAGCTTTGAAAGAGTCTGTTGTCTTGTGAAAAGCAGTTCCATGTGAGAAACCGGCTCCGGACAGCTATGTCCTGGACTTTTGTCAAGCCTTGACAAAGGGTTCCTGGCCTAACTGCAGGGGATGTGACTAGATAAGACCTTCCTGGCCTAACTGCAGGAGATGGGGATTAGGTAAACCTTCTGGAGCCTGTCAACTGCAGGGGGCCCGGGATCAAAGCGACCTCGCTCGCTCCTGACCCCCTCCTTAGGAATTTTCTCTATCCCTGCTTCCCCTGCTCCCCTCCCTACCTGAAGCCCTGCTTATAAGCCTCAATGCCCAGTCAATAAACGAGACCTTGACGCGACTCAGACTGACTCTGTCTTCCCTTATTGCGCCTGGTCTCCTTTCTCTCTCGCCCCCATTGATCTTTCAGGAGGTGCCTCCTCGGGTCTCCCCAATAACCTGGCCCGCGGGACGGGTCAGTTCCAGGGTTCATACAGGTTTTCTCATTGCTGTGCTTGCTGCTGACATCATCTCCAGAGAAACATCCAGCAAGAAGTGGAAAGAGGAGAAACAGGGTTGATCTGTTGAGGTATCCTTTCCCTTACAGGATCAAGATGAACTACTTTCTTCTTGTAACTGTGATCCTAGGCTGAAGCCCTGGCAGAGGGGAGATAATCTAAACAGAGATGCTTGTGTTCCTCACTTTGGCTACCAGACCTTTGTTTACTTAAAAAATTAGTACGACTAAAGGAATTGACAAAGAACTCTGCCAGGTCTGGAACAGGTGTGGTTTTACAAGTCTCAAAAACCCAAAATCCATCTTTTTCAATAGTGGAAGATTTAGGGGCTCAGTGGGTCAAGTGCTTCGTGCACAAGCAAGAAGACCTGAGTTTGATCCCACAGTCATGTAAAAACCTGAGTGTGGTGACATGCATCTCTAACCCCTATGTTGGGGATGGGACAGGGACAGGAGGACCCCTGGAGCTTACTGGTTAACCAATCTGGCCCAAATAGTGAACCCCAAGCACAGTAAAAGTGACAACCCTCTTAAAAATATGGTGGAGAGCAATAGAGGAAGGCACCAACATTGATCTACAGTCCCCCCTCCACACACACGTTAACACACTACTCACATATGTCCATTGTACATATGCATATACCACATATACACATATGAATTAAAATTGGGAGATTTTTGAGACCTCATTTTCCTTAGTTTGGACTTGAATGAAAAAACTGTCTTAGTGAGAGGAGAGTTGGAGCCCAGGTCTTTTTAACCCGGGGGTATCCTCAGTTGAAGTTGAGTGTACTTCAGCCCTTGCCTCTTGCCTTTATATAATCTGTGAGTGGATCACAAATGGTGGTGGGAGGAAATTAGATCCTCCCCTCACCCACTGGCCAGACTGCGAAGAAATTCACTTTTCTTCCCGACTTCTGTTTCCTAACTTTTAAAATACAGGTTAAGAGACCTAAGCACCCAGCAACACACTTGATGACCCTACTGTTCTCTCATTGTCATAATTTCTGTGGATAAATGTACTTTGTTCCTATCTACTGTTATCTTTCAGAAACTATGCAGTGTTAGAATTCCTAGCCACTCCCCCAGGTACATAACTGCACATATGTTGTCCAGTAGCCAAGCAAGAGGCTTAGTCATTCCAGAGCCTTACGTCCTATGTAATCCATGCTCTGTCTCATCCCGTAATTTGCACACAGCGTGATCATGCAATCTATGCACATGCGTGGTGTAGCTACGTATGCCCATATGCACATGTGCAGGGGGAACCTACAAAATGTTAGTTCCATCTATTCCTCCCCTTTCTTCCTGCATGATCATTCCCATAGACCTAAGCACATCCTTTCTCTTCCCCTTCCCCTAATAAACTCTTATAGTGGGTTTTGTTGTACCTCGTGGCTTTTCTCTCACAGTAAGCAGCACCACTTGATAAATAACACGTAGCCTACATAACACAGCAGAAAGAGAGTGCTGACCCACTTCAGGTTCAGACAGAGGGATGGTGGTAAATGATTGAGGGGAAGAGGTCTGTTGGGAAATGCTGGGATGGGGGTATGGAGTTGAAAGGGAATTTCCAAAGAGGAAATAAGAACTCACAGAGGTGCCAAATAGCTAGGGAGATGATACTGGTTCACTGATGCAAACAAAATTCAAATCTCTTTAAGGAATCATAGGCCAATATTTGTTTTGAAAGGGAGTTATATTTTCTTTATATTATCTTCATTATCACAAAAGCAGAACATAAAAAATTATGAACAATTTCAAATCCATTGAAAAGGAAAATGTTAACCTGATAACCATATCCAACTAAAAATGTACATTTAATTGTGACTATGAAATAATACATAATATCTCACAAATTTTTAATGATTGATTTGAGCTGAGTATTGTTAGTTATTTGGCGGTGCTCTTACCCTGAGAGGAAATGTCACGAAACACGACAGAATCCACTAACAAGAGTTTTATTAAGATAAGAGAGAAAAACAGGGGTGCTCAGGCCTGTTAATGGGACACGTGCATGGACAAGAAGAAGGAAGCTGGGAATATGGCACCGGCTTATAAAGGCTGGGTCCAGCATGCGCACACAGGTCCATGTGGCTACTCCACGCATGCGTGTAGATCACATGGTTGCGTTGCGCGCTCTTATGCAACTATGCAAAGCCACAGGGTCCTGGTCATACTAGACGCCTTGACCCAGAAATGGCTATTTTGACCCGGAACTGGCTAGGCAGAAGTGTCTAGGTCCGTCAGACATGCCCAACCATGGGGGCGTGTTGTGAATCTATCAAGTATCACACAAGTATTCCAAGTAGATCATTCTCATTTTACAGATAAGAAAACCAAGACTCAAAGAAACAAAGCAATTTGCGTAAGTTTCTGAATTTATGCAACGTGAGTGATGGAACTGTCCACGTCCACAGCCTGTCCCAGGCCAACTGTTTTAAAGCTGGACTTGCAAGTGGAGCACAAACAAAGCCCACATGTTATTTCCAGGGGATTACTATTCTGTCTTAAGACTACATCGGAGCTTTAGAAACCCAACTTTTCAATCGTTTCCTCCATACAACCTTTAGAGGCACTAAAGAGAAACATTGAAAAATAGATTGCCATGTGGGGGCAGTGGAATTTTACTGGTTCCACGAGAAAGTCAGGAAGGTTTTGGGGTGACAATAAAATATGCCCTGGGTGGTGAGCATGACGGGGGCAGAGGACAGAGAGCAGGAAGATACTTGAGGAGTCTAAAAGCTGCCATGTATGTGAACTTGAGCACAGACGTAACATCTCAGGAAAGTCTCATGTAAAAATGTCCTTCCTTTGCAACAGTTGCACTTATCAAAAGAAACTCAAAAGTCCAGAGGGATGGGAGATTGTCTGCTGGAAGGGGGTGCCCAGCAAGCCTGGCTGATTATACACACATTCACTTTGAGGGTGCCCATTGTGAGTGAGGCAGAAAGAGAGCAGGGAGCCCCAGGAAAACAAAGCAGCCTCTCTCTCTACACGGAAGGAACTGGACCATTCCTGGAAGCTTCCTGCAGGGAGCCAGGGCTGGTGCTATCAACAGCTTTAAAGTGGCCCTGCATGTGTGACTTTTCTTTGCTTTCAAATCCTTGCTTTTCAGCTAAGCCCTAGGAGGTAAGTCAACACCAGCAACACTTTCCAATCAAACTGGTAAAGATTTTACCTTCCTTTCACTCACAATCCAGTTTGTCTTCAATATTTCAGCTCAATCAGTGCTCAGAAATGGAATCTCAGAGAATCAAAGTTTTTCATCTTGTACTGCTCTCTCTGTCTGTCCAGTGATGGGAATAATACTACACTATCCAGGGATCTACCCCAGCTGAATTAGCTAGTGTCTATACAGGGTAATGAAAATTAAAGTGAGGTCTGTGTATGATTGCTGTAAATAATGAACATATCAGCTATATATCATTATTCCAAAGATACATATTAAAGATATTAACCATGAAAACTGTGGCATGCTTGATGAGGAGTGTAAAAGGGGGTCCTTTTGAAAAAAAAATCATTTACTCTACTGGCTTTCAGTGGGATTTTTAAAAATAGTTTTATATTTGACCTCTAACCCATTTATTAATAGCTTCCTATTTTACATAGTTCCCATTGCTCACTACAGTCATTTTGATCATTTCACAAAAAAATATTCTACACAAGAATTGAATTTGGTGGTTTAGTCCAGGATGTAATAATGCCTACTTCTTTCCTCTGGAAGCAATTTTGAGAAAATTGGAAGGGGTACTTAGAAATAAATAAGAAAACCTGGTTTATGGAGGTCTATTCACACAGTGGGTCCCTGGGTACCCTGCTACTGACATTTACAGCACACACACACACACACACACACACACACACACACACACACACACACACACTGTGGCCCACCTGGGTGTGCCTCTCACAGCTGAGCCTCCCAGAGTGCTTTCCCCTCTACTCACCTGCTTCTCTCCTTCCGGTTCACACACCTAGCATCATGATGAACGCCGTCCACTTGGATTTATGAGATCGGCATAAATTCAATAAGATCAGAGTTTCTCCTGGAAGAGAGTGTAGGCAACAGAATGAAGTGTGCTCAAATCTCAGAAAACCAAGGACACCTTTTTTTTTTTTTTTTAAACCATCTTGATTCACCGAGGTAGGTTTGAACACACTAGTAGTAAACTCAGAGTCATCAATAATGCACCAATGTCACATAAAGGAGAGAAATCAAAGCACTTCCCCATGGTGTCATATAACCGAGAGTGAGTCCAAGATTTGAAAGACCTGCTTCACTCTCCCCGTGTCTTCCATTGCCCCTGCTTGTCTAGTGTATGAGTCTGAATCTGTGCCTGCCTGAAGGATATCTTGTGAATCTGTCCCTACATCTGGTCTGTGTCTGTCTGTTTGAGCCTGTCGATCCCGAACAAAGGGCTTTGCTCTCCCCGTGAGGGTTGGGTTGGGCCAGCTCTCTTGCTGTAGTGTCTAATGAGAGGCAGGGCCAGCTTTTCCAGGGCCAGCGAAGGGTGGGACCAGTTCAGCATGGCCCTCTGATTTCATCATGCATGGCTCCTATGGCCCCCTGAGGTGACACAGGCCACAGACATCAATACACTCTTCTTTAAAGACAGGTTAAACAAACAGGCTAAATACACAGCAGGATAGCAGTCTTATGTCTTGAGTGACCCTAAGGTGTATTACTAACTCTGGCTATGAGGTCCAGCAAAAATTCCAGTGTCTTAGAGTGTAAGAAATATTTTCAGGATATTATATCACCGCAATTCATAAGAGTAAGATCTGTTAATAGTTAAGTGACCTTTTAATTATAAAATTCTGAGCCCCTTTTCATACTGAGTTTTGACTGCTTGTTCTCTAATGTCCATAATATACAATGAAATTTAAAAATAGCAAAAGCACAAGTAAAAAAAAACCCTCAAAATAATGTATTCCTTCAAATCACTTCCAAAATTCAGACTTTCAGTATACCAAATAACTTTAAAAGACAGACCTTAGCCAAAAGCAGTAACTAACTGCTTAGGATATAGTGAACATTATTAAAGCAAGAACTGAAGTTTGGTGCGTTGCCTATTTATTGATTAGTAAACTCTAGCAGTGATTTTCAAATGTTAGCCCTGAGGACTTGATAAATATGGGTTACTGGAACCCTTGAATCTATAGCTTTTCTTTCTTTTTTGGGGGTGGGATTTGAGACAGGGTTTCTCTGTGTAGTTTTGGTGCCTGTCCTGGATCTCACTCTGTAGACCAGGCTGGCCTCAAACTCACACAGATCTGCTTGACTCTGCCTCCTGAGTGCTGGGATTAAACGTGTGCGCCATCGAGGCCCGGCTTCCACAGACTTTCTTGTTCACCATGTTGATGTTTGACTTGTGGACCTGCATCCCTAATGACGTCCTAGGAAAGGCCAATGCTCCTGGCAGCACTCCAGCCAATACCAACTGTCATAATTGTCTGGACCCCGGAATACCCCTTTTAACTATCACAACAAAAGAGTATAAAGGATGTTTAGAAGTCCTTGAGAACCTTGCTTCTCACACCCAGGTGTGACACATCTCCTGTGAGGTCATTATCTTCTTTGAGTTAGTCCTGCAGGGGGCCACATCCCTAATCTCTGCATTACCCTCAAAGAGCAGACAAGTGCCATCGTATCGTGATTTAGCTTGCTTTATAACACAGAAATGAAGTAAGAATGAATTTATTTAACAGAATGACTTAGAGTTATGTAATAATATATGGTATGCATCAGTGTGAGATGACAGCTTCTCTCAGTTAAAAAAGGGAACAAGGGCTGGAGAGATGGCTCAGTGGTTAAGAGCACTGACTGCTCTTCCAGGGGACCCAGGTTCAATTCCCATCACCCACATGGCAGCTTACAACTGTCTGTAACTCCAGGATCCAACACCCTCACACAGACATACATGCAGGTAAAACACCAATGTACACAAAATAAAAATAAATAAATTTAAAAAAGAAACAAGAACTTAACAGTACAGAGACAATCTTATTTCTTGGACAAGCAAAGGCAGAAGACCATGGATCTACGCAACAGATTAGGTGGCATGACATGGTAGACACCTGGACAGCACAATGGCGTTCTCTTGGTGATATGTGCCTGCCAGCTGCTCATCATAACTTACTCAAATTAAATTAGGATTCATTTTTACTGGTTGTTGTTCAAGAATTAACTGGAACTTTCTTAATTCCTGTTATTTTATCCCATAGAATATGCTCCTTCTTCTGAGGAACTGCAAGGAGAGTCCACTGTGTACTGAGAAGGGAGACCAGAATGGTAGGTCTGGCCCTGTGACTTTCCCCAGCTTGCTTCTTGTTGGAAAAGTAGAAATTATTCACTCCAAATGACATGAGATTTTTGTTTGTTTGTTTGTTTGTTGTTGCTGTTGTTTTTCTTCAATATTGGGAATTGACAAGGACTAAAGTATCTTCCCATGCAGAGACATAAAGAAGGAAGCAGGCTGCAGAGGGAGCCTGAGCAAAGATAAAGGCAGGGAAGCTATTGATGAACTCAGAGGAGCTCTGGTCGATAGAGAAGGAGAATCGGGCACGCACTGCATGATGGAGAAGTTGGAACACATGTAAAATCTGCTCGCAAGGAGAATTGGCACTGTTGGTTTCATTTAAAGAGGAAAGTCACTGAAATTGACCTGTATATTAAAAAAACCAATTCTATCAATAAGGTGAAAGATTCGACATGCCCCAGTTTAGAGGCTGATAATGATGTGTTATATTCTCTTGTATGAAGGGCTGCGAGCTCTAACTTAAGACTCACAAGGCTCTTTTTTTTTTTTTTTAAGCTGCAACATTAAAATAAGGATTAAACATTTAGTTTAACTGAGAGAAGCTCTCAGGCTGGATACACACTGATGCATACCATGCATTATTGCATAACTCTAAGTCATTCTGTTAAACAAATTCATTCTTACTTCATTTCTGTGTTATAAAGCAAGCTAAATCACAATACGATGGCACTTTCCGCCCAAACTTTTAAGCAAAAATATGCTTTCAATCAGTGGTCCTATGCTTCTGAATCATCCCCACTTCCCCTTTCCTGGTAGCATGACCCAGCTTTCCCTTCAATCACACCATCAGGCTTTTGAATCATTCTCTCTGCACTTCAGGAGGTGTGGGCACTTCCCTACTGTTTAAAGCATAAAAGCCTATCCTCTCCGCACTAGAAGATTACCCAGGACCCTATCCATTCTTTGGGGAAGAATGACTCATTCCAATACAAAAATAAAAGTAATTTCTCAGAGAAGAAATAGCTGTACGAGCTGATGGGGCCAGTTAGTTTAGTGGGAGTTGAAGAACTGTGGGACTTGGTAAACACAAGGGAAGAAACAGTTGTTCCCTGCCACGTCAGCATATTTTCAATGGCCTTTACGGAATTTGAGTTTGCTAAATCTGTGTGGGAACAAACATTAGCCCATACTATTATTATCATCCCCGAGTTGATGTAAGAAAATTGATGTTCACTAGTTTGAAAAAATAACCTATATAACGTTGATCATGTATAAATAGACATAAAATAACTTTGATCATTAACCTAGCTTACAATAAAGAAGGTAGTTTTTGGTTATTATAATATAAGCCATGTATATATTATCCCAGGCATTTAAAAGGAAAAGGATACATACTTTTTAAAATGAATACAAGTAAAGACTTTACCTCTCTATACGAAATTGAAATAGAATTCTTAAACATAAATATGTACTTATATTTTTTTAACATTTCAAATAAAAACAATAAGAAAAATTATGCATACAGTAGACTTTAAGATTTATTCCTTGAAAGTGAATAAGATCAATAACTTGACTCTAAATATACATCTTCTAAGTTGCTTTTGGGCTTTCACCAATCAATACTCAGGGCTACTTCTTTGTTTCACACTGAGGAAGTTGTAACATGAATCTTTGAGTTGAATATAAGGAAGAAATTTGCTGTATTTCATATGAGTAAAATATCAACTAAGAATTAAACACAGATCTTATGTCCTTAGGATGGAGCTGAGGATGAAAAACAGTTGTGAAGATGAAGCAGGGACTTTGAGGAAGTTCTCTGATGAAGAGGGGAGAGAACAAAATGCGACTTTAGAAATATTTACTGATATGGGAGCATGTGGATATTGACACTTATAACTTCTAATACAATATCTACTCAGCACAATTCATGGTACCTTGTAGAAAAGGCATCAGCTAAGACTCATGCAGAATTTACTGTGAACTTGAATATGAATGACCAAGAGTGATAAGCCAGTTTAATGCATAACACTACAAGTCAATCCATAATGGATAATAAAAGATACGTCAAAGTCCCATTAAAGATATAGAGTGATACTCTGATTTGGTGACTAGATAATGATCTAGAAGAAACCCCACTCAGACCCAGAGATCTGCTAGAAGCAGGATGATCTGTGATAGTAGCAGAGAAAAGCAAACAGCTCCAGGGCCAACACTGAAAAGATGAGTGGAGCAGGAGGTATCGAGTGTCAAATGTACTTGATCATGTAACAGTCATCGTTGGTATGAGAAGCAGGACTGTGAAGTCTTAGAGCTGAATTGTCCAAAGTGAAAGTCTATCTGGGATGTTGAAAAGACAGTAAATAATTGAGACCTGAGCAATAAACCATGGAGGCAAAATTACCAACGGACTGAAGAAGCTTGATGCACAGAAAGAAGGGTATAGGGACTAAATTTGCTTGATGAACATAAACTATAGACAGGGAATGCAAGGCATTGTGTTCAGAGGTGAATGTGAGACCACGAGAATGGTGCACTCAAATGGGAAAAAGTGACAGTTATTAGAACTACATGATCAAACTTTCAGAGGCAAAGGAGTGATGTGAACAGGAAAGGGAACCAGGATGGAGATGGGCATCAGGGGAAGAATAAGACTACAAGCCAGGTACTTTGAAAGAACAGCCAAATAATATGGTAAAGGCATATGATGGGGAGAGATGGTATTTCAAGTCTCAAATGAGCAAGAAGTTTGAATGGGAAGGGGCCCTTGGCCTGGAAATGGTATTGAG